TAGGTGTAAGAACATGTAGAATATGAGCATGTTATAAAAGACACAAACTGTTAGTAGCTTGCATTGTGGTTTGAGACAGTAGTTTGATATTGCTTGACATTTTGGGTAAAAAAATAAATTCCCTTTCTGTTTTGTGAAACCTATCCATTACCCCACCTTTTTAATCAAATAGTCTACTGCTAACCAATACTATTAGGCGGTTGTAACAAGCAGTTTATCTATTATTTCCTTCATGTTGTAAAATGTTCTCTTGTTGTTTTCTTTTTCTTTTGAATTGAAAGACTTGCTTTCTTTTTAATTAATTTTTGAGATTTCATCTTTTTGTACCACTATGCCCAATTTTTTTTTTGAATATTTTTAATAGGAGAGAGGTGGAATCTAATAAGTGAGAAGCGAACAAAGAGGTTAGAATTAAAAACCTCTAATTCCGCTATGCTTTGTTCTTTACATTTTTTCCCTCTTTTTGGGCTGTGGTAAAATGCGTTAATGGACTCAGTTCTTTCCACAGATTCCTTGAATTTTTCTGGGCCTATTGTGGCCTATTATGTGCTGGTGCAAGTTTGCAACGTATGGAAACACTTAAGCGTATGAACACAGGAGAGAAATCAAAGGAGGAAAGGCCTTTTCACTCAATTGGGTAAACTTTTTTTATACGCTGCTAGTGTATAATTTTTTGTGCACTCATAGATTTAGATAATGTTATATAATATAAATTTAAATTTGATATTCAAATCATGTGCATGTGACATATATTCAAAGGTGCTAGTCTAAAAAAAATCACTACACTATCAGTGTATAAAAAAGTTAATCCTAAATGAAATCATGATATTTATTTTCTTCTTTTTTTTTTTTTGCAAAAATTTAAGGTGATGGGCAAATTTCTTCTTCTTTTTTGGTGAAAATGTGAAGTTGATGATGGGCTGCTCAATTAGTTTTTACTTCATCAGAAAGGGGTTCAAATGAACAGAAAAAAATTGGTCAAGAAGGTCAGAGTTGGTCTACCAAAAAAATAATGGGAAAATGGAGTGATTTAATTGGTTTTAATGACTTACAATATGCAAACTACGAGTTCTCCTATGGTTTTGATTTTTTTTTTTGGTCTCCTTTTCAACTATCATCTTTACTCTTACCACAAAGAACAAAGAAGGTCCAACTTTATTTAAAAAATTATCTTTGTTTTTTTGTCTTACTAGAAATTCAAATTAATAATTTTTATCTAACTATAGAAAATGCTCCTCTCGTATGTTTTTAACTTCATAAAATTCTTTCACAAATTAAACCCAATATTTATATAAATAATTTGTACAAATAGATATAGCTTTTATTAATTTGCACACACATAGAATGCGTCTTATTCGAGTGGCATAATTAATTTGATGCAAAATATTTTGCTAAATTATTTGACTGGCCAAACCAAATTAGTTTACATGTGGAAGAAAAACAATGAAATTCAACGGTCGATTTCCAATTCTTCAGCAGCATTGATTTGCTGATGGATAAAAAGTGCTGGCGAGAAATATATATATAAGAAAATATGTAAGAAAATTCATGTGGCTATTGCATAGCCCACAACATGACCTATAAGCGGACCAATAGACTACGCCTATACTTCGGCTCCGTTTGGATTAGCTGTTTTTTGGGTTGTTTTTCAAAAACACCGCTGTAGCATTTCGAATCTGAAAAACAAGTCCGTTTGGATTGGTTGTTTTTGGGGTTGTTTTTCAAAAACTATATGAAAAACTTTTACTGTAGATTTTTTTGGATTATTTTTAGAGGTTTTTTTGAAACATATTTTTGAGTATTTTTAGAATATTATAATTTTTATATTTTTATATAAATATACATTTATGCATTTATAATACATTTATATTTACAAATGTATAAATGTATATTATTATAAATGTATAAATTATAAATGAATATTATATAAATGTATAAATTATAAATTATAATTTTTATATAAATATACATTTATGCATTTATAATACATTTATAAATAAATATATTTATATATTCATATAAAAATATATAAATGTATTATATTCTATATAATACATAATATAAATATATTTATTAATGTATAAGTGTATATTATTATAAATGTATAAATTATAAATGAATATTATAAATATATTATAAATTATAAGTGTATATTATTATAAATGTATAAATTAATATATTATAAATATATATTAATATTATGTAGAAATGTATTTATATAATTAATATAAATGTATATATGCATTAATATTATGTATAAATGTAAAATTAATATTATGTATATTAATATAAATGTATAAATGTATTATATTATATATAACACATAATATAAATGTATATTTAAATGTATAAGTGTATGTTATTAAAAATGTATAAATTATAAATGAATATTATATAAATGTATAAATTAATATATTATAAATATGTTTTAATATTATGTTGAAATGTATTAATATAATTAATATAAATGTATACATGTATTAATATTATGTATAAATGTAAAATTAATATTATGTATATTAATATAAATATATAAATGTATTATATTATATATAATATATAATATAAATGTATATTATAAATATACATAAATATTTATATATTATGTATAAATTTACATTTATATAAATGTATAATATATTATATATAATTTATATAACATATAATATTTATGTAAATATATTATAAATATATAAATATATATTTTAAATAAAATAAAATATTTATGATATGTATATGTAAATATATAATATTAGAAATGTATAATATATATAATATACATTAATATTAATTTAATTTATATATAATATACATAATTGAAATATACATATTAATATATATTATAAAACAAAATTGCATAAATATATTTATAAATTTATATATAAATAAATGTATTTATATAAATATATAATATTTATTTCAATTGACATAATATATATAATATTATACATAATTGAAATAAATATATTTATATTAATATAATATATATATAATATACATAATTGAATATACATATTAAAATACATAATTGAAATATACATATTAAAATATATAATTAAAATATATTAAAATATAATTGATATATACATATAAAATACATAATTAAAATATACAAATTGAAATATACTTATTAAAATATACAAATTAAATATGCATAATTGAAATATATTTGGAGTTGTTTTTGATATATTGTTTGGATTGGTGTTTTTGAAATTGTTTTTGAAATACACATTTACTGTAGCATTTGGAATGTGAAAAACAGTTTTTCAAAAACAGGCTCAAAAACACCAATCCAAACGTAAGTGTTTTGCGGAGGTGAATAAGCAATTTTGTAACGGATGCTCTTATAGTTAATTTCTAACGGCAACAAAATCTATAGCACCAGGGAGGGATGAGCAATTCTCATGCCAATCCTAATTGTCAAGTAGAAAAGAACAAAGTTTTCTAGCCCCCCCCCCCCAAAGATGAAATGCTGTTTTTTCAGATAACTCCAAAGTTTATCCATGTCATGATATCTGAAATTTGCGTCAAGACAATACTAACATAAACAGCAGATAATAAGCACAATTTGATCAACTAAGCTAGTTAATCAAATAAGCATAATCTTATCATCAACTCATTTTACCATTCTGGATGGTTAATTTCCCCTAATTTTAGCGCATATCTTGCTACATTTCTATCTTTCTAATTGCAATTTTGTGATGCAGACAGACACTAACATATAACATGGTTTAATAATAGGCCAAGACCATGAGTAAAATGGCATAAATTGATATAAAAAAGATATTTTGCAGAAGGTTTGATTAGCTAGCCAAATTGATTTACGTAAAAAGCTATTATCCGCCCTCATAGCAATCCAGAGAGCTAATGCCGATTAACAGGTGACACCAAAATTTATCCATCTTCATATATACTTTCCTTTCCCCGTCAAAGTCATTAAAAGCTATTATTATTTGCGAGAAAATAAACAGAAAGGTGGGAGGTTTTTGTGGAGGGATCGGAGTTGGTTCCTCCGTAACCACCAAAGTTTTTTTCCCTTGTTCTTTACGATTTTTAATTGGATTATAAATTTTAAATCTAAGTTGTGTTTCATTGCTAGTGCTGTTAATCGAACCGAGTATTTGACTGTCGAACTCGACTCGAATTTAACTCGAGTTAGGTTCAAGTTCACTCGACTAGGCCGACGACCTTTGAAATGTGTTCGAATTCGGCTCGCCAAATGGGACATATAACTCGAGCTCGACTCGTTTATCACAAACGAACTGAGCTTGCATGAGCTTGAGCTCGAGTTCATGCAAATTAACCCCAATAAAAACCTATAATTTTCAATTTTTATTCTTTTGAATTGTGAAATGACATATATGCCCTTCCTTATCGAGTCCAATCGAGCTATTCGGATAACAAAGGAGTCGAATTTATTCGACTTATTAATTAAATGAGCATATCTCGAGTTCGAACTAGACTCGTTTATCACAATTAACGAATCGAGTTCGAGCCTTATCGAATCGAGTTCAATCGAGGTTTTGAGCTGCTCGTTCCATTTAACAGCTCTACTCATTGCACGAATTTCGTATAAGCGATATATGTATGTATGTATGTATGTATGTTTAATATGTGTGTACATGTGCATGCACAACCTATAGCTAAAACTGATAGGCCATTGACAATCTGTGACCTCCTACCACCGTCTAAGAACGCCAATTATGTATATATAAATAGTGGATTGGGGTACCCAAAAAGCAATCCACGAACAGGCTAGAAAATTGAGAGGCCTAGAAATTCCATTTTAAGGTAGGCCTAGCACTTGGAGTTCTAGAATTCTGGATTTAAACTTCGAGCTTTAGATTTCCAGATTTGATAGGAAAAGAAATTCAAAAGAAAAAAGTCAAAAAGAAGGCCAAAAGTACAACGAAGGAAATCGGTCTTTTTATTAATTTTTCGAAAGAGTTCCAGACAGTACAGTTACGAACAATGAACAAAGAAACTTATACAGACACAATTGACCACGACTGATGACGACGACCACGACGATGACGACTAATGAACTTCTAGACAACAAGGGGACTTAACCTAATTGAAGAAACTGAGCTAATCTAGTAATCTGTTATACAAAGGAGTTTCTTATGCTCTATGTTCTATAAGTCATATCATTAGTCTACAAGTCCTTCACTACCCTAGTCCCCTTGTTTTGTACATAAAAGACACGACACTGCAAGGTAGCCAGGTGGGTATTGATGAAACTCGAATTGATGCCTAGGGCATCAATTTCTCCCACTCATAACGGCCAGGTAGCGGCTCTTCCTTGTCGAAGTCGAAGTTGTACCTGCAGAAAATTAATATTCATCAAGAAAATGTCTTTGTCTAATTGTCCATAAGCTGGAAATTCATGAGAAGAAGAAAATTAATGGATGTTAGGAAATAAAACCCTCACACATACTTCTCAATGCACTTGTTTTTATGCTTCTCTTCAAGATCACCAAAAAGTGCGTTCAGGTAATCTTCTGTCGGGTTAATGAATTGCCTTGGATTGGCCCTTGTGGTGCGGATGTAGCGACGCCTGGTGCTTGGAAAGGGGGGAAGAACCAGAGCGTTTGGATCCCTAATCAAATGGACTGGTGTGGTCTCCCTTGTGGCCCTTAAAAGAAAATTGAAGGAATCCCAACTCCGTTAGGTCCATAAATTAAAATAAGAAATGTTTAGATATAAGTAAATTGCCATAAAAGGAGGAATAGAATTTCAAATCTTATAAGCATAGAGTAACGTGGGATGGAACAGCTGTTAATACAATTATTTGGCAATTTGATATAGGCACAAATAGAACAATGTTCAAACGTGCTATTAGCAAACACACAAATAGATATTGGCAAAAATTGCAAAAAAAAAATACACTTTGAGGTGTACAAATTAGAACAAAAATGTGGCTGTGACACGCCAACAAAACTCTAGAGTTTTTTCTTTAATTTCTTTTTTAATATTCCAAGAATCTTACATAGTGCATAGAGTAACATCAAAATGCTAAAAAAGTTACAAAAATCCTTAAAACCATATTGAATGGTGAAAATGTTCAATTTTTGAAAATTTACCTCATTCTTCAAGCAACAATTGAAGGGTACTAAACCAAATCAGGGTTTCCATATGTATACCAATGCACACAAACAAGGACCCAAATAAGAAACACCCAGAAGTAATGTATTTTTCAATCACATTTTAGTGACAGCAAAGTGACAGCATAGAAAAAAATTCAACTAGCCAAATTATTTCTTGTAAAGATTGAAATTTAAAACATGCAAAACATTTTTGTGGAAACCAAATAAATTTCATTGTCAACGTTTCAAAATTCAACATGTTTTTAGGACCAAAAACAAGAAATCCATTTTTTAAAAAAAATAAAAATTTCAATATGCAAAACAATGAAAACCTTTATATATATGTATGAAAACAAACCAACTTAAATGGTTATCTCTCCTTCAAAAATCATTTTTCATCAAAGTCAACAAAACAGAAATAAACCCACCTTTCAGCACTTTCAGCCTCCAAGTTATTCTGTTCCCAGGAGGAAACCATAACCTTCAAATCATCAGGGTTATTTTTTTTCTCCTCATTTTCATTCTCCTCCAGCATTGGACCCATCCCCTTGTCTTTCTTGCTTTCTTGATTCCCACTGGCTGGCCCCGTTCCCTGGCTCTTTGAAGTCGAACCCTTGAGAATCTTTCGGGTTTTCGCTTTAGCAGCAAATGGTGAGAGCCTTTCCACCCTACGGCTCCTCAGTTGCAGATAGGATCCACCATCTCCAATGGCTGCAGATGCAGCTGATGGTGAAGCAGGTAACTTCTGTAAACGCTTGAGTTCCAGAGTCATGGACCTCGTACGTACACCAAGTGGGGTTTGAGCATGGTTCACCTCCATTTTTGGAGCCCCTGCTTTCCCCTGGGACTTGTCTACACACTTTCTCATGGATTCCCTTTTCTTTTTTCAATCTAAGGCTGGTGTTTGAGACAAGGGATAGGGAAATGAAGGATGGTGATTTGAATGTATGAATGGTGTGTGCGTGCACTGGTGACTAATGACTATATATATATATATATATATATATAGCAAAGGAAAGGTAAAGAGTGATAAGGCAAACCTAGCTAGGTTGGCATTTGGGGTGGGGAATGGTTCGTTTGGTACGGGTCTAATATCTCATAAGATGCACACTATATACATACATAGTATATAAATTGAATCCCAAAACTCTTCTCCTAATTTTTTTAATTTTCTGAATTCTACTATATTTTTACGTTTTCCAAATAAGGAAATTAGGAAAAACAACTTTTCATCACATCTTGTATTAATATCATTTTCCTCTTGTTTGGATTGTAAGTGTAGTGTAAAAAGATATTCAGTAAATGCAAAAATTATAAAATATAGTAAATGATCAATTAAAGTTGTTAACTAAAAGAGGTTAAGTAGTTTGAGAAATTTTTTTATGTATGAGGAATGCGATCACTATAAATCGTAACAAACTCTTGTCGTATTTTGCTAACAACTCGGATCGATCCAAGAAAATTTTATTAGAGTTAAATTCTTGGGTCCACCATATTTAAAATTTTAACGAACTTGTCCGTGTGTATATACTTTCTAATAAATATTGGCGGCAAACTTTTAGGAAAGCATAATCTTTCTATGATGTAGTTAAAATTTTAAATCTCGTTCATTATTGTATTGTTATACACGTGTTTGATCATTTGTCGGATGTGATAAATTGATATATAAAAAATACATGAGATGTATATCTAATTTTTCATGTAACTGTGTGCCTTAAGATCAAGTTGTTTTTAGTTATATTATAAGTAAACTGAACAATTATCAAAACATATTAGATGAACAATTAAGCTTTTAAATAATAGAGACCAAGAAGTTTGAAAATTTTTATTGGTTCTTAGTCCACCATATCTAAAATCTTAACGAACTCATTCATAACATATATGCTTGCTATTAAATATTGGCGGGAAATTTTTACGAAAGCTCAATCATGCTACAATATAATATATTGGCGGGAAATTTTTAGGAAAGAACTACGATATGCCAAATTTATACATTTTGTTAATGTGCAGTTCTACTTGTCTAATTTGTTAAATTTGATAAATTGATATTTGGAAGTAGATGAGATGCATGTCTAATTTGTCGCGTAACACTAACAAGAAGATTTTTTATGTTAAAAGCCGATATCTGTTATATTATATCACCAGGTGAATATCTATTATGTTGTACACGTAAAAATAAATGGTCAAAAATATATGAAGCTTTTTAATGCATAAATACTTTCCGCACATATTAGTAAGATATGGTGTGAAATTTCTAGGTAAGAATAATTTTGTTTTACAGCAATTGACATTTTATAATTGTCAATTTCAAATTATTACACATGTTTCTAAGGTGTTGTTTATTAAAAAGAAAAACCTATAACTATTTTAAAAAGTGTTTCCAATGTGCTGCTAAATTGTCATATGAATTTTGAATTGGATTGTTTTATTCATATGAACAAGATATTATTTTCCAGAAAGTAACATTTGAAAGGTCTTACTATAGCCCCGAATTCGATATTGCAGAATACCAATTGCTAGTTATCAAATCAGCATTTCAACTGCACATATCAACACTTATTTCTCACATCTCATTGACTTTTAACCCTACAAAACACTTACTTTTTGCTCTTGAGAAATTGTCGCGTTTCATATACTATTGGTGCACATATTTCTTTCAATTGTAACTTTTAATATCATACCCTAATGTATATAATATGTCTTTCCGCATACTTGCCATAATAATAGTTTAATAGAAATCTTTTTGATTTGTTTAAAATAGTTTTTTTTTGTTTAATATATTTATTTAGACATGAATTTTAAATCTCATTAATGCAAACATTATTCACTATCTTTAGATCTATTGTCCAAGGACAAGTTTTGTGTAGGTTTGCATATTGATATACTTGATATAGAATTTTGGCCAAGTTTTAAACTTATATTTCAATGTGAGGGGGTAAAATGCAAGGACTGATTAAATAGAATCAGTTGCAGCTAACCTCAACCTAAGACATTATCAACGTGTTCTCATGAGTTATATCTTAACATCATTGAAAACAAGATCTCAATTGTGTATCCTTGGGGGCGGGATACACAGGCACAGGAAGATTAGTCTGGCAAAGTTGGGATACTCCATGTGTTGAATGAAAATTAGGTTTATTTCGTTATCAAAACCTGTTGATAGTATCTTGACTACTATTTTCTCTTGAAAAATATTTCTGTGAAAGTAGTGTCAAAATACTTCAACATAACTACATTAAAAAAAAAAAAAAGAATCTCACTCCATTTGAGCTTATGGAATACTTTTAACTTTTTTAAGATTTTATTTACTTAGTACTAGTTATAAAATCAAAACTTTATTCAATAATTTGTCTGTCAAATAAAAAGTGTAAACAAACCAGAAGGTTTGTCGGCATACAAATTTGTTATTGCAGTAGGAATAGTAGCCAAAAAGAAAAAAGAATAGCACCAGTTTGCATTATCTGCAATAAGCGATTTGTAGGCAAATGTATCTATCAATTTGTTCTTTTGCCAAAACTACTATTAGACGATGAAAAGGATCTGCAAGAAAAGGCACTACCAGGGGTATGCACCATAACTGCTGTTGCTGCTTAGTAAGATTTAAACAAAATGTTTCTTCATCGATAGCGTAGTACAATGTAAATCTAATATGCTACACTCAGGTGCGGAGCTAGGAAAAAAAATTCAGTGGGGCCAAAGTTAATATATGAAATTTTACTAATTACAATATGAAAAAAATATGTTTAACTAATAATATATGCCACAAGTTATGTATATAATTAATCTACAATTTAGCAACAAAATAAAGAACTCTCAAATCTTAAATTCCTAGTAAAGGATTCCTCTACTTGTCCTCTCGCAACCCGAATAAATTTTCTCTAGATTTTTGTTAAGATGAAATAAAAAATGAGCAATGTTTGTGAATTCCAATATGTTGTAAAAAAAAGCTAAAAAAAAAAAACTTTTCAAATAAATTTGTGTACTGGGAGTACATTAGAATAGATAAAGAAGAAGAATAAATGCAAATTGAGCCTCTTTCTTGATTTTAAGTGTTGCTAAATTATTTAGATATTGAGACATATAAACAAACTGTACACTACTACTTTAGATTTTGTTTTAGGGTAGTAAGGGTAATCGCATTTAAGTGTGGGGGTATACCTACAATTTTATATGCATATATGGAGATTTTGGTGAGGCAATTCTCTAGTACTTAAATTTTGCTAAAGGGTAGTGGGGACAATTTCATTTAAATATAGGAGTAAAACTACAAATTTATATGTAGATGTGGAGATTTTGGTGGGATCAACGGGGGCAATTGTCCCTATTGCCCCCACTTTGTCTTCGTCTCTGGTTATAATGTGAGGATGAGTATTTAATGTTGTAAGATGTCACTTGTAATATAAAGGGTTATTATCACTTTACCCCTTAACGTTCGGTGTCACTATCAATTTTTCCCTTAATGTTATGTTTTAGTCACTTTATCCTCAAGACTAACTGTCAAACTTAACGAAATTTGTTAATTAAAGTAAAAAGACAAGTTTAGCCCTTAAAATTATTATCATTTTACCCCCATAAACTATAATCTCATTATCAATTTACTCCATAGAGTTATTTTTTAGGCAATTTATCCCACCATTAAACCAACTTAGTAAGTTAAAAAACTTTAGAAGAAAATACTTTCCTCTTTGTGTAATAGAAATAATAAAAAATTTAGAATGACTCTTCTCCTCTTTAGTATCAAGAAAAAAAGTCAAAGTATTAATTTCTTTCTTCTTGGCAATCTTATTAATATTAAAAAAATAGAAAGATCAGGAGGGGGAGAGAGAGATAGAGAGAGAGCTCAATTCTTTTTTAGAAAATACAAATAAGAAAGAATTAAATACTTTTATTATTTTAAAATTATTTCACTTTACTGTTTACCATCAGATTTCAATCATAATCCCAACAACCTTAAATTAATACGATAATGTTAGACTTTTCTTTCTTTTGTAAAATCTATTTTTTTGTCTCCTTCTTTCCTATCTCTTTTCATAGTATTAATAAGTGTGAAAAAAGAAATTTGAGAAAATTCTTTTATTTTTATATTTTTGGATCTCTTAAAGTGAAAAAAAGAAGAATAATCATTCTAAAATTTTTTAATTATATATATAAGGGAAAATATATTTAAATTTTTTTTACCATAGTAGTTAGATTAACGATGAAGTAAAATTCCAAGAAAATAATGTTAGAAATTAAATCAATTATATCACTATAATTTAAAAGAATAAAGTAATAATAACAGTGTAGTAATACTATAGAATAAAATGGTATTTTTGTCCAAAATTTCTTAACATGTTGAGTTGAATTACTTATGGGGGTGAAGTGACTAAAAGATAACTTTAGGAGGTAAACTGATAGTAGTGATATAGTTTAAGGGGGTAAAGTGATAATAACCCTAATATAAGATACACTTTTGTGACCGTTTTTCTTTTTCCTATTCTTTTATGGGCATATAACTCCAAATTCGATATTCTTTACCATGAATCTCAACATTGAATAACATGTTTGTGTTAATGAACCATAAAAATCAGAGCACAACAACAGATGTTATATTTTGATTGCACCTCAACTTTTGTTCATTCCAAATGAGTAACCAAGTTATTTTTTAAAGGTAAAATTGATAACATAAAATTGTGGAAGTTTATTTATGGGATTTTTGTGAAATTCTACAATCTCTTTTGAGTATCGCACCCATGATTTTCATCCAATAAACTCTTGTCACATCATTCAATAATTTAAATTCTTAATGATCGGTTGCAATTTTATCATTTATTTTATTATTAATTTCCCATATTACCTGACTTGATGTGGATTAATTATTAGATTCTACTCACTTTTCGTAATTTACATTTATTTCAGGAAGTAGAATAAAAATATCACAATCAAGGCTAATTTGA